CTGGGATGCCACTCCGTTCCGTCCGTAGTTACCAAGAGCTCTGAATGTAAGGTACTGTGCTGCAGGGCATCCAGCAACGCGCCCGGCCTTGATGAAGGGGCCTTCATCCAAGGAACTTAAGCCGCCTTGACAGTGTGATTGCTACATGTTTTCATGGCTGAAGACGGGTGAAACGAGTCTCATTCAAATCGTTTCAAGGCTGAGCACTTTAGGCAGAAGTAGAATTGGTAGTCTCAGAGGCGGGTTGCAGGCGATGCCATTCTTGGTGCTACTGCTATCACGAAGAGCCAAGAACGATGCCTGCACCTGTGATGATCTCATAGAGAGCCACGGGGAGCTCGATGAGAACCTGGTGGTTAGTCTGTGTAGGCGTGCACCGTGGGACTCTAGAAGATATGTCTATTGGAGGCATGTGTCACTTCCACATCGCTCGGGGCGTCAAGTGGCGAGACCCTAAGCTGCGGACCGCCGGGCCGAGAAAGGCGAAAAAGCCGATCATGTGCAGCATTACCCAGTTCATCCTTGCGCTTTCAACACTTTCAGAGATCTGGAAGTGAGTTGCCAGGCGTGCTATGGGCCATGTGCGAGGTTCACAATTCACAGGATTTGACTTCGCAAAGTCAATCTTTGCGCAGCGGAACACGTTCTAGACTTGATGGTGGCAGACGAACTGATCATCTGGGACACAAGCTGGTAGAGCAACTCAATGGAAGAAACCTTCTTGCCGGCCCGAATGTCCTGCACGATTGTTTCAGCTACGTGCACCACAGATTACAGGCAAAGGATCACAAAATTGAATCGATGTCTGCAGCTGCTGGCGCCCGACGGACAAGTTGGCCCACACTATACCTCCACCTACCTTCGCTGCTTCCACAGCCACGCAGTTCCAAGGCTTTTCTTGGCTCACATTGCGAAGACGCACTTCCGGGTCTCATCATGCAGCGACGAACGAAGCATTACAACTCAGTGCGCCCACAACAGCTGTACGACAGGCACAACAAAGCCCTCACATTCGCGGCTTGCGGTCCTCTGCAAGACATTGCCTCAGATTATCATTTGCGAGGATCCGCACTCTGTGGCCTTGATGCTAAGGATTTCGAGATGCACCGTTCCGGCGACCCCCTCGGCCCAAACGCCCATCGTTCGCATGTCTTTGAGAGTCTTGGTGTCTGGACAGTAGATCTTGTCGTCTTGGCACGTCTTGATGGCCGCGCCAGTCGCGTCATCCCAGTAGTCAGTAAAGCCCGTCAAGGGAAGGGTGACCGTATTGACTTGACCAGCTGGCCCTGCGTTGAAGTCGGACTTGTATCCGTATGCATGGAACTTTCCGCCAGGAGCATGCGCGTTGCCGATGGAGAAACGAAATCCCTTGTAGTCGTTCGCGGACTTCACAGTCAGGGCAATATTCTTGCAAGTGGAGATGTCTGGGAAGATGCGGCCGGGGTTCATGTCGACAACCGAGGCCTTAATGAAGCCAGGCGCATGCAAGAACGGTACGTCCACGACCTCGCCACTAAAGATGCCTTTGCTGTCAGCCACGCTGAAAGCACCGGTTGACTTACCTCCCATCACGGGATCGTTCATTTGGCGCCACTGGTGGGTGCTGCCCTTGGCGCCATCGAAAGATGCGAGCAAGATCTCGTTGGCAGCACTCAGCTGGACCGATGCTGCGAAAAACAGACTCAGAACACGCGCCATACCCTCAGGCTTGTCTGTCAAGCGGATCTGACGCTGAAAACCTTGAACCTAAAAGCTGCGCTGTGTGCTCGTTCAGGCGCTCGGTAGGTGCAGCATGATGTCTGCATCTGCTGGCGCCCGACGGACAAGTTGGGCAACACTACCTCCACCTACCTTCGCTGCTTCCACAGCCACGCAGTTCCAAGTCTTTTTGGTTCACATCGCGAAGACGCACTTCCGGGTCTCATCATGCAGCGACGAACGAAGCATTACAACTCAGTGTGCCCACAACAGCTGTACGACAGGCACAACAAAGCCCTCACATTCGCGGCTTGCGGTCCTCTGCAAGACATTGCCTCAGATTATCATTTGCGAGGATCCGCACTCTGTGGCCTTGATGCTAAGGATTTCGAGATGCACCGTTCCGGCGACCCCCTCGGCCCAAACGCCCATCGTTCGCATGTCTTTGAGAGTCTTGGTGTCTGGACAGTAGATCTTGTCGTCTTGGCACGTCTTGATGGCCGCGCCAGTCGCGTCATCCCAGTAGTCAGTAAAGCCCGTCAAGGGAAGGGTGACCGTATTGACTTGACCAGCTGGCCCTGCGTTGAAGTCGGACTTGTATCCGTATGCAAAGAACTTCCCACCAGGAGCATGCGCGTTGCCGATGGAGAAACGAAATCCCTTGTAGTCGTTCGCGGACTTCACGGTTAAGGCAATATTCTTGCAAGTGGAGATGTCTGGGAAGATGCGGCCAAAGGGGTTCATGTCGACAACCGAGGCCTTAATGAAGCCAGGCGCATGCAAGAACGGTACGTCCACGACCTCGCCACTAAAGATGCCTTTGCTGTCAGCCACGCTGAAAGCACCGGTTGACTTACCTCCCATCACGGGATCGTTCATTTGGCGCCACTGGTGGGTGCTGCCCTTGGCGCCATCGAAAGATGCGAGCAAGATCTCGTTGGCAGCACTCAGCTGGACCGATGCTGCGAAAAACAGACTCAGAACACGCGCCATACCCTCAGGCTTGTCTGTCAAGCGGATCTGACGCTGAAAACCTTGAACCTAAAAGCTGCGCCCAGTGCACAACACCGATCGAAGTCTCACGGCGGCAGTGTTTGCACAAGCTTGGAACAGCCTTCGAAATCCTGCGAAGCAGGTCCTTGTTTCCCCCGGTCGCTCCACTGACCACCGGCCTCGGCCCCAAGTTCTCTGACATGCACAGCCTGAAACCGTTCTTTGGCGATGCTCCGCCAATTGGACACACTCTCACTCCTAGAATGCACTGGTTGAATCTTGTGAACACGACAGCTACATGATATTACATGATGCTATATGCCCCATGCCGGACTTCTCTCCCTTTCGTGTGCTGGGTCGGGTGCGTCTGGAGCACCATGAGAAGACCAAAAGGGGTTAGCAGCCCGCGCGCTGCATGGAAGGCGTATCCCCACCTGTGCGATCCGGAAAGCTTGACGCAGTCTCTGCAACTCCTTTCGTTGCCTCGTGGGACCAGTGTGGGATGTGATGTGAGATGCATATGGGGTGGTCAGTGGTAGCCCTGTCGGTTCATGAAGGCATATTCAGAAGTGTAATGAAGTTTTGCCATGATCTAGAAAGGCAAAGCTGAGCAATCTTCTGTAACCCCTCCTGAAAGCCATAAATGCCTTACTCGAGCGAGGTGATCACCTGACGCATGAGGCCATCAAGGCCATCTGGGATCACCAAGAGCTGAGGAAACAGCATAGAGGAGCCGCCACACCGCATCATGATTCCACCTTGTTCAATCGAAGGGCGTTGCATGCGCTTCGAAAGAGTGCATGAAAAGCGTTTGGTTGCATGGCGGTTTCACTATGGAAGAGCAACAGTCTGGTGCCACCTACACTGCAATTTGGATGCGGCCTTCAGACACAGAAACGTCCAAAGACTAAGCCCGCAGCCGATTGTCATGATGACACAGCTGGGAAGGACAATCGCCTTCACCATCTGGCCCTCCGACGTGCCCTGCGTCAACTATGCAATCTGCTGTTACAGGGCATTCCTGACAGCTGCGAGCTTCTACCCCGCGCAGCTCAAGATTCCTCTATTGTGGCTGCGGACCATGAGCAGAGGGCTTGCAGCTGTTCTGCATAAGTGGCGATTGTGACTTCTTTGTTCATGCAAACTCAACCCATGGCGCCTCATCTCCGAAGGTTTCAGAGATCGTCTCAGGATGAGTCTTCATGAAGGCCTTGGCATCGTGTCGCAAGCTGCTGGCCGCAAGGCTGCGCGAGCCGGCTTGCAAGCGACAGCTGCCGCGTCTGTGCTCGGGTCTCGAAAATCGCTGCCCCACATCTGGATGTTTCGAATGCTGGCTTCATCTGGAATTCCCGCCACGTCCAAAAGCAGCGACGAGAAAGGCTAAGCAAGGAGCCGTATAGTCCGCCTTACCAGTTTCACGGAATTGGTCCTGCGACTCAGATAGCAGACATTCACATCAGCACACCTCGTTCTCTAAAGTGTATTGGGGCAGCGGGGCGGCCGGCGGCCAGGTCCTTGAAGGCTCGGATGTACTTGTGCCTGTTCGCAGGGGACGAGTACCACACCTGAGATGCACGTAGCGAGGGACACGATGTGACCAGTGTACCAGTGCACCATGTCCTGCAGAAAAGCAGTCGCAAGGATAACAAGACATCCACTGGCCAGGCATCCAGCATCAATGGAACTCACGAAGGCTACGTGGCACATGCGGGCAGCGAAGAACATGATGATGGCGCCAACCTCTGAACAAGCTTCGAGGGGTGGCAGCCCAGGTTTACATGCTAGACACATTCTTTTGATCAGCCTATGAAGACATGTTAACGCACACCGCGCTGGGGCTGAACGGCTGCCGGCTACCGACTTAAGTACACGGCACACTGCACCATCAGATGTGGATTGTCCTCTGCCTCGCAGGCAGCTTGACACCGCAAAAAGAAATCTCTCCTCTCTTGTAGATTGTAGCACTCGCACGTGACCCGGGTGTGCCAACCTCAGCCAATGGGAATGCACACCACTTACTGAGGATGCAGCCGACATCTCTTTTTCGATACTCGGGCGATGGTCACTAAACGGATAAAACTTTGGAACCACGCAGCAGCTGCGGTCCAACCATGCATCTGCGGTTCCCGGCTGGTCCTTGCTTATGCGGGTTTTTGACCATACCAGCCCTCACTCACTGCAGCCTAGCGACCCTGCATAAGGCTTGCACATCCCGTCACATGCCGTCTACACTGATTCTAAACCGGCACCTGCGCGAATTCTTCATGACCGTTCAGCGACCTGCGGCCTCTCATGTCTGAGGTGTCAGCTCCCAGAAGACCCAAACCTTGGACGTCAAGGCACCAAGCGGGGTCGGATGCGGGTCAGCTCAGGGACTTTGCACACGGTGCTTGTCGCAGTCGCAAGTACCACTTCTACTTTACTAGTACATCATTCTCTGTTTCCCTCTCTTTCTTTCTCCAGGCTTGAGGGCACGCCCCCGCTGGGGCAGCCCGTGCTTCTCTCTCTCTCTCTCTCTCTCTCTTGCTTGCTTGCTTGCTTGCTGGTGTGGGTACATGCAAGCATGCGCTCTGGCCCGACGGCCTACCCGGCCCATGGCGCGCGTCTGTTCGTTCTCGGGGCCTCTTTCCGAGGTGGGTGACAACACGTTCCAACGAGTGTACCTTTAAGCCCCAGCCCCCAAATCCCCCAAACCAACCCTGCCAAAACCATCACCTCAGCAACCTCGAAGATACAGCTCGGGTCATCCGTGGTCCCCCCAGCTTACAGTACGAGCAGGCCGACTTCACATCTGCAAAGCAACCCCCAAGCAGGAATCAAACAAGAATCAAGCACCAACGCGTTTACTGCTGTCGGTCCCCTCACAAAACAAATACTTTTGCGGAGGGCAGGCTGATCCCTCGCCTAGGTCGTACGGTTCCCCCCACTCTTACATAGTAAAGCAACACTTGTAACCGTGCAAAGCACAAGTACGTACCGTGGGTTCGCCCGTCAGGCGATCAAAAGGTCTGCAGACGCCCTCCCTGAAATATTTCCAGGACAAGACATTAGTTGTGTAGGTGGCCTAGGTCAGAGAAGATGTCCCAAAGTCAAAAGCGTAGCGAATTGGCAGCAAGATCCCTGTTCAGGAAGCTGAGTGTTTGGCAGGGTGCAACTAAAAGGGGGGCAAAGTGGCTCCCCCAAAAGAGTGTAGTGGATCTGGCTCCGCGGCCCGTCATAGCTAAGCTTGGCATTGCAAGAAGGACTTTGCAAGCGGACTGGGGACGTCGTTGGGCAGCTGTGCGGGTTTCGAACCACACAACCAAAAACGGACAAACCATCTAACTGAAAGACACTGCTCCTCCACCTCGCAACTCCCCCAAAACTGTTCTTCACGCGTCTCTAACTTACTCTTGCTTGCTTGCTTGCTTTGGGGGTATGGGTTCCCGGGCGAACCCTGGCCCGAGGGCTTACCCCCTCCACAGTCCGCTTACTCTCTCTCTCGTTGTTTCTTTCTTTCCCCAGGCTTGAGGGCGTGCCCGCGCGGGAACGGCCCGTCTTTTGAAAAAACGCACGGTATTACGTGCGATAGCTGTCTGTTCCCCTCCACGGGTGGGCTTGAAAGACCGCTCAGGTACTAACAACACCACAACACTGTTGCCCACGCCCCTGTTGCTGAGTGAGAGCTCATGATGTGTTTTCATTCGCTCTCGGGATGCCTCGCCCCGTGGCACAACAACACTCAACACATACCAGGATCAACACTTGATAACACTTCCTTGGGCTCTGGCATCTCTCTCAGCTTCTGTGGAGTGCCGGTTTACACTCCGGCGGCAGGCTCAACTGTGTTTCGAAGCTTTGGGCTGGATACTTACAGACTGGAACAGGACGACTTTGCTCTTAAAGCCTCGCCCCGGTGACTTTTCTTCTACTCACATGCTCTGTGTTGCAAACAAGCCGGCAGGGTCTGCAACTCTCTCTCTCTCTCTCTCTCTTTTCTTTCTTTCTGCCGGGCATAAGGGTCTCTCTCTCTCTCTCTCTCTTCTTCTGCCGGGCGTAAAGGGCGTGCGAGGCCCTTCGGCCCCATGGGCCCCCCATGTGTTATGGGGCGGTTGGAAGGGCGTGAAATAACAACGAGTTACCCTCTCTCTCTCTCTCTCTCTCTCTCTCTCTTTGCTTGGGGTGTGAGGCGGGTTTCTCTCTCTCTTTCTTTCTTTCTTTCTGCAGGTCGTAGGGGTCGCGTGCGCCCCCCAGGCCTTTGGCCCGCCCAGCTCACCCCCTGTATTATGGAGTGGCTGGTATCGGGGTTTTTCCTGACTACGGCAAAGGACTACACAGTATGCTCAGCGCTCTCATGTAGACACCCCCGCCTAGAACTCTAGACCCCGCGCATCCCGGCCTCATCGCCGGGCCCCTATGGCTACCACTACCCGCGTACCTTAGTCCTAGGCGGGTTCCACGGTGAGGGCTTGGGCTGAGCGTTCAGCAAGGTGTGTTGCGACTGCTTCAGAGTATGCTACGTCCCTACCTCAAGCAACGTTCCAACACTGACACCCGGAGCTGCACTCACCTTGCTCTCCCCTTTTGTTAGGGGTTCTGTGTTGTCAAAGGTATCTGGGGTTGGCGTTGGCTCAGGGAGGCGTTCCTAGTAACAAGGTCACCTAGAAACAGGGTACACCATGGTACAGCGAGCCTGCCCCAGAAAAACGTGAAACTGCTAGTTCGGTGTATCGTGGCGTGGTGGGGGTGGGCACCAGGCCGAGCTACATAATCAGTGGTCGTCTCTCTCCCCCACCATGTTGCACGACGAAAGTTGAGGGAAACCGCCGCTACTGGTATTGGGGTCCACACTGCGAGCCTCATACGCGACAAAACCGGGTCTATCACGGGTTTAGCTGCAGGTACAGGCCCCGAGGCAAGCGAGAGAGGTGTGTCCCCCGTGGTGGTGGCTCCCCTTACGGAGCGTGCACTGTCGTGTGGCTTCTTGGGCCTTCGTCTGGGGGGCGCTTTTGCAGAAAACAACGAATTACAGAGGAGGCCTATCGCAAGTTGACGTTCGGCTAAGTTCCCCCCAGGTTCGTGGGGCTACGGCTACGGGGCTCGACACTTTGGGCCTCATGCACAACATACCTGCCCTCTCTCTCTCTCTCTCTCTCTCTCTCTCTCTCTCTCTTGCTTGCGATGCCGTACTGCAAATGGAACATGTTCGAACCATGCTTGTCCACGATCGCTGGTGCTGCGCAAGAACAGCAACATAATACAACATGTAAGAAGGTTGCATAACAGGTTTATCGTAGGGCATTAACGAGACAGATACGTGTGTCCGCTGCGGTGACCCTCCCTCGCTCCTGCTGTAAGGCGCCAGCCATCACTGAAGCCCATAGCAGCCTCAGGAGGGCTTGGGGAGATGCTTGACGTTCAAAGGAGCCCTTCGAAAAAGCACAACATAGAATTTAGCCTAAAGATCTCCAGAAGCTCTGTCCCTCGCTCTCGCTGGATACACTTATGCGATCACGGCTGCAGGGAGCCGTCAGGGATGCTGTATGACAATTTCGATCTGAAACACCCGCGTTGCTTCAAGTCGAGTGCCGGACACGCTGCGCTTCGTCGCGACCTCTTGCTCCACGTCTTGCGAAAATCCTTTGGCAGAGCCTGATTCCGTCACAGAGCCGTTGCCAAAGCCCGGGCTGACCCGGGTCCGGGCATCCCCTAATGGTTAACGACTGACCCGAGATTGAGTGAGGTCTGCTTCGGGAAAGCAAACTCCCAACCCAATGTGCAGACCTCTCAGGAAAACGCCGGCCTGCTTGGGCAGGCGCAGCGATCAAGCCGCCTGGACAGCAAGGGCATGGGCATGACCACCACCATCACCATCGGAACAATCACAATCATGATGATGAAGGCGTCTAAAGCGCATACCAGCTACAGTGGGTAAGTTCGTTGCTATCCTAAGGTTCTTCTTGTCCTCATTCTTGCTGCTGTTTCTGCGGCTTCTGCCTCTGCAGCCTGCTGGTGCTTCTCACCATTGTGGTGGGGTGGTGCTGCTGCCGCTACCGACGCAGGCTTGCGCATGATGGGGTTGGACATTGAGGATGATGGTTCTGGCTAACGGCTGGCAAATCATTCGAAAGTTAGCCAGTCGTGACAAGAATGCTCAGAAAGCAGCTGATCCTAGCCCCGATTTGAACGCCTCCGCAATAGAAACAACAGGTCAGCCAACTCTGCCTGAGAAATTCCCAAGAAACTGTGCCCGGACCGGCTTCCAAGAAGAGCTGTGGTAACAGCCTGTACAGCATCTTCTCATTATTCAGTCACATCGACGGCTTCAGGAGCACGGCTTCTCGGGATGTGTTGCCAGTGTGGCTATGTACATCAAGGGGAGCAGCAGTCCATTCCAGGCATCATCCAGAATTTCAGAAGCTGCCCGGGGTCTGCCGCGTCCCGCCATGTCCCGCCCATCTCAGCTGGGCGCCTTCCAGGGCTACAGCGTACTATGATTCTATAGGGCCTTAGTAGTTGGAATAGGGTTTCGGGGTGCGTAGTATACTATACATATAAGAAGGAACTCCTAAACTTGGTACTATTGGTACTCTTTTTTACCAGTTCGCTTTGATCGGCCGTGGGCCCGTCCTGTGGCTGCGGTGACAACGAGGCACGCATGGCGTCCTCGAAAAGCTTGCGGGCTTCTGCCTTTGCGGCTGCATTGCCGCCGGCCGACTGTGCCACCTGATTCGAATGCTTCTTTATGGACAAACGGAAATGGCACGACCAGGTATAAGTTATAAGACTCAAGCGAAACTCTAGATTCTAGATTGGGACAGTGCATCCTTCATCACATATTGCGGGTTGCTGATGAACCCACACCCGGGCAGTTGCCTGCAACGCCCGAAGGTCTTTCAAGGCCTCGCATCTGCAATAGACTTCTGCTGTGGAAGAATGTGCAAGCTACCAGGCATGGTTTTGGTGCTTTACTGTTACGTGGCAAGTTCATCTATTCCCTCGCAGACTCAGATTGCGAAGATTTAGCCTCCTCTGCGCGGCGCCGGCGCGGCCCACGGCAAAGAGGTTCCAGCTGTTCGGGCTCTGATGCACCTGCAGACTCTCACACCCTGTCACGTGTAGCTAGGGCTTCTTGGAAATGCACCTCATCGAAAGGAGCGGGCACTACGTCAAGATGTTAGTGCAGCCTGCGTCTGGCAGAAACGATGTTACGTTGATGAGGAAATGAGCTCTTACTGGCGAACCGGCACTTGCAAAGGCTTGACTTGAGCTCATTGTTTGCTCCCGTCTTCTGACTGGACCACTCGATTCTCGGAGCTGCTTGCCAAAAAGCACAGTTATGACGAGGCATGGAAGCTTTCCGTAAGGTGCAAACCGACCCACTGATGTCTTCAAGAACATACCCACGATTTTCTTAAAGTCGTTTGTAGGGTCGGATTCTTCGCGAATCACGGCGACTAATGTTCAACCCAGCATGTCGGACCCTCTCGACTTGGGCTTGGGCTGCTTGGGAACCAAATGCCAGACCATGAACAAAATGAGGGACTTAAGCAAGAAAAACAAAAAACAAAATACAACTCTCCAGGAACCTCAACAGCAAGCATACCGAACGAGCCTTGACGTTGGTGCCAAAGCTCTGCATACGCAAACGCTTGCTGCTTGCTCTCTTTTTCCGGCTGACCTGCGACCAAACGGGCTGCAGTCTTCAACGGTTCGGGTCGATAGCGAATGTACATCATGCCGCTGATGCAGGACTTAATTTAGAATCTATTCCGGCACGATTGGCAGGGTGCAATCCCGATCATCAGTGGCACGGCAGGAAGTGTCAAGCTTGACTTGCCATTCGGCCTTCAACACAAAAAACTATTTTGTAGGCATACAGGCAGTGCTGCCACGAAGACTTTCGAACAGCCGAAACTTGTTATTTCAGGATTTCTACTCTCGGGTCGCAGAGCACCCAACTTTCCATCAAAATGCTGTGCGCATCTGCATGCGTTTATATGTAACTATCAACTACACCAGCTCACTAGCATGTTCTGATTCCGCCGCGCATCGCATGGGGGAGTGTAGGGAAGTTCAACATAGTGCATCATGACATTATAATGTTATTGCCTTTTAGATGCAGCAAAAACAACTTCGTGCTGCGACTTGACATGGCGGCGACATTGCAGCTACAGTTCTGTTGAGTGACATAGGAACCTGGACCGAGTCGGCACCAGGTTCAAAACCGTAATGATGGCCGACAGAGCGCCTCTTGCGCGTTGGAGACTGCGATTTCAGTCTAAAACAGTCATAGAGCCACAGCAGCAGCACTGAATATTTGATGAAAATAAACAGACTCGACTGGAATTGATGTACTCAGTAACTTGTCAACAAACCAGCCTCGGTCTGCGAGGTAGCTGGGCCCCACCACGCGGCAGATGTTCGCGTTGACACCCCGCGGGCGCGTGCCGCCGCGCCAGCGCAGCTGCCGCTGGAAGTGGCGTAGGTGCTGCTCCTCCATGCCGAACTCGAAACCCTCCCGTCCCGGCTCTATTGAGACCTCTGCTGATGTGCCCAAAACAGCAGTCACCTGCCTTTGCAAGCTGTCAAGCTTACAGTCCAGAGTTATTGGCAGGCTTCCGACCAGAACCCCCCCCAAAGCTCCAGTCGGTCGACCAGGGCACGCTGCTCCTCCTCGGCTGCCTCCAAGGCAAGCCGCTCGGGTCGATAGCTCAGAGACCGCAGGTCAAAGACTGACACCAAGACTGGATGCCAGGCTTTTTCGTAGCTGAGTTCTAGAGTCCTAGAACCAGACTAGCATCATGCTGCAGATTCCACTTCATTTTCGACTCCCAGGAAGCCGGAGTGTGCCGGAGTGGCCTCACGCTCGCACTAAAGCAGGCAAGGCTGGTCGACTCTCACTTTCGCTGCAAAAAGGAATACTGCCCCGAACAAACCCACCACTACAGGATCAGAAAGCCCAATCCATACCCATCAGCAAAGGCAAACCGCGGGTGTAGCATGGTGTACCCCTCGGTCCAGCTACCCTGCATGGTATACACCCAGTGCCTAAACAATGACGATTGGGGCAGTAAACAGTAACAGTAACAGATCCACAGCTCACAAATAGCCTACAGCGAAACCACATTAGGCACGAACTCGCCAAGTACGAAGGTTCTGCCTGTCAGCGCACCAAATCTATCGAGATGAATGACAACCCTCACCAGCACGCCGCAGTCGACGTGCTGAAAAGACCCAGCCTTTGAGGCCACAGTCATTCTTTGGATGGCCGACAGAAGCTGCGCACGTGAGGCAGAAACAGCAAGAAGGATGGAGAGTTCCTCGCCAGCTGGTCAGGTGTCCGTGGCGCTTGTGTACATCCACTAGCTATTGCATCAGACTCTGTGTACGCAAGGACAAAGCACGGAATCAAATCCAGCATGATCTAGGAATCTAGGACCACGAACGAAGCTTAAACCGTCCTCGTTCTGCCGCAGTGCAGTTCCCAAGTCCCACGTCACTGGAGTAAACCTCGAAATTACACACCAACCCCCCCCCCCCACACACACACACACACACGCGCTCAATCGATCGATCAAATCATGCCCAGAAGTCTTCAAGACCCTGAGCGAAGCACGCATTGCAACCTGAATGCCTTCATTGTGAGATAGTTGCACGTGTCCATGGGAAACGAGAGAAAACTGAGCAAACAGAATGCGCACGAAGGGACAAAACCCGCCAGCAGAACGACACGTCAAATGCAGCCAGGAAGCAGTACCTCATCGCTCCCTATGGAGCACTCAGTGATGAATCGCAACCGGGGGTCCGTCCCACCACCTCCGCCAGGTCAAACACACGGTTGAAGACGGACACATGGACGCGCACACACACAGTGACAGAGATCGACAGGCGGGCACAGACACAGCACGAACGGACAAACTGACTGACGGAAACAGGTCAGACACCAAGGTTCGAGCACAAGCTCCTGAAATTGTCGGCAACTGAAATCAGGTTTATGTTTGACAGTGACGACAATGGGCCAGACTGCAAGAATCCCTGTAAATCTGAGCAAGACGTAAATCTTGCAAAACGGAATCCGTTGCATCGGCGTGCTGCTCCGGGTCTGACACGCAGAATTACCCGTCAACTGCACTTAGTAGGTGTGGTTTCTGTCTTTGCCGACCCGAAATTGCACTCACTCGCTCGCTCACTCACTCGTAACATACGCACAGCCCCTTGCCTAGGCATGCTGACTTTTACAAATGCAAAAAAGAGCACGCACCCTCGCATGTAACTGGGTAAGGGCTCGAAAGCCTGCATGTATGCTGGAATTTGTGCCGCCACCTTCAGCATCCCTCTCGGCTAGAGCAGCAGCTATCGCTCGACGAACTGCAAATGCAAAGGGCTCACCGCGAGCAGTGAGCTCGTTGAACCTGGCAATGAAAGGCGTGGAGGGATCTACGAGAGGACGCCAGCGGATTTTTGTGGGTTGTCGACTTGCACGCTTCGAACGAACAGCTAATTTCCATGCCTTTGAAGCTTGCGGTAGTTGAGTCAAGCAGCAGCTGCTTAACTCTGATGAGCAGAATGTGCCAGTTGATTGCTTCTGCGACATCTCCAGAGGCCCCAGTGCAAATCTTCAGCCTCCCTAGGCATATCCAAGCTCGGGAGCCACCGCTGCCTGGGATCCTTACTTCACGTGGCAAGGCGAAGTTCACGTGTTCAAACCGCTTCAGAGCGATTCGAAGCCATGTCCGGATTTTCATTTTGTGCCTTTGCTGTCAAGTGGCGCTGCTTCCGCACCTGTGCGCCTTCGCTTCGCAGGGTGCTCAAGCTGCTCTGCGCCGTGCTCGAGTTGATCGTGGCCCTTGTCCTGAACTGCAAGTAGCTTGAAGGTGGACTTCATCTACGCCCTCTTGCTCTGAGAGTGCTATGGCCAAACGGCGAAACGACTAACAATAACAGCAACTCGCAGCTGGTCAGCGACTTCCGTCCTGGGTCGCTCCAGGCATTGCGAGCAGGGAGGTGCCACAGCCCTCGTCTTCTGTAACTACCATGCCTTTCGCACGGACATCGTCGACGGCCTGGACTGCGTGTGGTGTGGGCGATAAACAGCTGCGGGGAGGCATCTTTGAAATGGCTCCGTTTTCGGCTGTGAATCGCAGTTTTCGGATGAACTGTTGCTTCCTTCTGGCCTCTGTGGATGCCGCAATCGCACCACTGTCCAGTCCCACCATCGGAGCACCTGATGGGCAGTCGCCGGTGTGGGCGATAGAATCGAACCCCCTGCCTGCAGAAACATATCACGCTGAGGGCCTCCAAGGCAGGCATTGGAGCGCGCGTAGGCCAACAGGACTTCTGCCGCCCGGCACGACAGCTCCAAGACTCTCTCCTGGGAAGAAACCGGAGACAGGAACTCGTGAAGGCAAGAGAGCTTTGTGCAAGGTGGCTCTAGCGTTGGGGCAAAGACTTACTGTAAGTTTCAACCGCTTGTGCACTAAGGTTTCTGACATTCTTCAAGCTTGCCAAAGCCTGTCCAGCATGCCGCCAAGTGTCATTTCTCCTTTTTGCCGATTCGTCTAGAAGTTCCAGCCAGAGGGCCTTTGCTCGCTTTGTCTCCTCTGTGGTGCCCCAGCCTTCACAAGGCTTCTGGTCCGGATCGGTCTTACCTGAGCCAAACCGAAGTGGAGTCTAATCATCATCGCTCCCGAGCCGAAACTGTACTTCCGAGCTGCCCAGGTCCGGCAGCCCGAAAGCATCTGCTTGAGCCTGCGCGGCTTCCGCTTCTGCCCGCCTTGTTGGGAATACAGAGGCAGAGCGAGTGACAGGTTCAGGGTGTATTCATTCTTTGGCCGCGTGTCCTGCCTCCTATCAGCTGCTGCCTGAATACCGCGTCCGTCCTGACTTCCCGTTCTCTGCAGATCTTCGTCGTAGCTTGCACGCTTCTCTGCATCGGACAAGACCTCGAAGGCCTCCACCACTTTGAGGAACTCACCGGCACTCCCACCCTTGTCAGGATGTGTGGCGAGCGCCAGGTGACGGTAAGCTTGCCGAATCTGAGTGTTGTCGGCATGTCGGTTTACACCCAGGACGCTGTAGAGCGTTTGACTGGCGGCCAGCTTCGACATCCGACGCGCTAAGGCTTCGTGCGCTGACTCGCCATCTTTGGAACGCGCTTTGCGCACGAAGCTGCTAATGCTGCTAATGCTTGTTTGAATCATTGCATTGCCTCTGACACAACAACTGCCGGAGCTCGTCATTAACCGCTTGTGCGGTCTCGAATGCTTTTACCGAGACAGCCCTTCCCAAGTGGGCCAGCTAAAATGCTTCGGCAAAGAGCCAACGATTCTTTCACTTTCCAGTCTACGTTTACGCGGAACAGTACAGCACCAGCACCGGAATGCTCTTCGGTTGCAGCATGTTGCAGCTGTCAGGAACGAACGTAACGTGCGGAACATCTGAGGTATTGGCAGCTTACTCTGGCAATATCACGGGCCACCTTGAGCTTCGAAGCTGCTGCAATGAGCCGCTTGCCGCTACTAGGCGACTGCCATACAGTACTGTAGGTGTTGCTTGGCCTTGCTGCGAATGCATTTGTAAGGCTGGGACATGAAGCATGGCCACGGCAATGCCGCAAAGCTCCTTCCAGTCACGTCCGTGGCCAGAGCTGGTCGGGCTGCTCGGCTGCTCTGCCTGGAAGCTGACCATGGTCACAAAGGTCATGGCCAGGCGGTACAGCACCAGCCAATGCGATGGCCTCAAAAAGACAGCTTCCAGCTTCGAGCACTATCAACATTTGCGAGCAACCGGGCTTCCCGGCACCTCCATTCGGCCAGGAGCGAGACGCCCCGAGCCGTATGATTGCACTTTTTCCTACACTGACCGGTGTTCGCTATATGTCAGATGCTTCACTACGAACCTTTGTACGGCTGTGTCGTGTACTCTTCGAACGCACTGTGACGTGCATTCTCGAGTGACTCACTCATTGCTCCTGTTCTTTCAACTTCAAAAGCCAGCGCCGTGGAACAAAGACTCCCCTTCGTGTAGAGCGGGGCATAGCAGTGCTCTTCAGAAGGACGCAGGCATTTTGGCTCAGCCCAGCATCTTCGAGAAGAGCGCCTTCTCCTTCTTCTTGGCTGCCTGAATCGCCGTTGCTGCAGCCGACTTCATGCCGACAGCCTCGGGATTCTTGGGGTCCTTCCTCAACAACTCCTCGGCCGTCGCTAGAGCATCGAAGTGCTCACCTAAAGCCAGCAAGGCTTGGCCACGTCGGAAGAGCGCTTTCACCTGAAGGCACAACCAAGACGTGGGTTCAATGCTCAACCCTGCAGCTAGGGCACATGGGTCATGTCGAAGCGCAGCGCGTTCTCGGCATAGTGCAGGGCTTGACGAGGATCGTCAAGCTTGAGAGCAACAGCAGCGAGGTTGCTGAAGAGAATCGAGGCCAAAGACATGTCCTTCGCTCAATGCTTGCTTGATCTCCCCATATGCATGGCACGGGCTCTCCTTGTCTAGCTGCTCTTGTCCACCATGGTCCAGCCCAGGGATGGGCTGCATTTCATGGTCGTGGGGCACATACTCCTGAAACTTGCTGTGGGACAGCGACAGAGACGCCGTGCAGTTTGCAGCTGCAGACGAGGTGCCAGGTATCGGAGCCCCTCCTGATATGCCAGCATGGCGTAGTCCCACTCCGAGGCCTGCAACCAGCGCCCCGAGCTACCGTGCATGCAGGGCGCAGGGCAGGGCCATGTTTGGGTCCCTCCCCATTTCGACCTTGAAGGCTCGGTTGCCGATTTCCTTGCAGCGGACCGCAAAGGCCGACCGCTCTGCGGGAGTCATCTCGGAGGGCTCCTCTGGCAGACTCTCGGGCTTAGGCCTGGGGGCAAGGGCACGCTGGCACCGGTCCTTCGGGGGCGCCACGCCCCTTAGCCAAGCGGAAACTAGGACGAGCAAGTCTGCACGAACATGCAGCAAGGCTGCTCTCCACCGGAATCGGGCAAGGTAGCCATGGCATCTGGTCTTATTTTCGCAAAGGTTTTCCGTGAAGCCTAGGGACGGAAACCAACAAGCAGTCTCTTCGTGAGCCTCGCTGTCTTTCGTGAGCGACCGGTCTGATTTGGGAATGTGCCAGCTACCTAAGTGTTTACAGAGGTTCTACATGATCCTGCTACGCGCATTGTAGCCTGACATAGGGCAGCTGCGATCACCCGAGACAGGCAAAAAACGGCTAATGCTGTCTTGCTGACATTTCGGTCGAAGCAGGAAAGAGCGCAAACATTTTGATATAATGATAAATGACATGATACAGGTGGCAGTGGAGTCTTTTGGGCCGCAGAGACTCTGTCCCATGCGACCTGGACCTGGCCTGCAAACCCCGACTCTCAGGGGCGCAATCCAAACTTACACTTGCATGCCTTGCACTTCCCATGAAGTTCTGCTTGCCCCCGTGGTTCCCACGGAAAGGCAAGAGTTTTAGGCCCCACATGCTGCCGCCTTCTTCGCACAAGCAGAGAGCGAACAAAAACGAGTCTCCCGGATCGGTAGCGAAGCTAGATGACACTCAACAGTGCTTCAGACTTGCGTGTCTCAATTTGACGAGCTCGTGACGCTCTCCTGCCCATGGGAAGCCAAGTGCGAGATTCAAAGCTTGAGCAACAGCTTCGCCGTCTCAAGCCGGCACGACTAAAACGGGCCCACACGTTCAACCGATGCCTCGTCATTGCATCAAACCGGGCCTTGGCGAAGTAGCAGTGCGTCGTTTTGCCGTGGAGTTGAGCCACTGAAACCAATCACGAGGCCAGTGGGGTCGCGCAGTACATCTGTACAGTGCAGCAGCTTGATAGAAAATTGGTCTGGTGGTGCACAGGCACCACGCAGCCAGACGTAAGCAGCCTAAGATAGGGGCCTTGATGATTAGAATAGGGTTTTGGGGCCCATTATTTCTACAATTGTAACAAGGAACCCCGACAATAGTATTGGTAACTATTGAGGCCCCTATAGTAGTCACTGCTTGCCTGGCCCTATTTGTCCTCGCGCTCAAGCAGCTCGCCGAGGCTGGGCAGAACCCAGTCGGGCAAGTACTCGTGCCTCTGCTCCTGGAAACTGGCTTCTACAGTAGATAGATGTAGACAGACTTTGCCGGATCGTTTATGGCAGTCAGGTTGATTGCAAGTCAAGTCGAATGAGTGGGTTTGTTCTTTGCCAGCAGCGGCTCTAAACCCAAAGTTGCTGTCCTTCGTGAGGTTGAGCTGCGCCGTGAGGTTGTCCTTATAAGTGCAGCAACGCCTACCAGTACCGTTATTTGTGCTGCTCTTGATTGCCATTCATCACAGAGAATACGTTTTACAGCCATGTAAGCCTGCTCGTTCGCTTTGGCATTGGCTGACAGCCACACAGCACACTCACAGCGGCGTGCGCGAGGCTAACTATAGGCAAGGAGCTAAAACCAGCAAGGAGGATGCACCGCTCCTGTATGCAAACCTGATCAAATTGCGGGTGCAACGGCTGTGTCTCATGAAGACTCTTCAAGTGCCTGCCCGGATGATGCGGCTTTGCTTCCAACTCTCGAATAGGCTGCACAACTGCTACATCAAATTCCTCTGGCGACAGAGCTGCTGGGCGAACGCACACCATGTATGGAATTGGACACACCCCCGCAATACGTATCACATTCCCTGCAGCAGAACCTTGCGGATCTGTGAAGACTCCTCCCACAGGATGCTTTGACTCAGAAGTGTCTTTGGATGTTGCATGTGGTGGTACTTCACACTTGCACCACAGTCTTCAGACTAGTGCCGCTGCTGCAGCTGCTGCTGCTGCTGCTCCGCATCATAATCTTTTCACTGTCATATTATCATGACTGTAAGTGTAGTCGTGAAAGAAATTGTCATTAACACCCGCATAATATTCATCACCTTCGTGGACAGCACAATCACCTCGATCGCTACCATCACACCAATATCACGCCATCATCGTCATCATCACCATGCCATTATGCCTCCTCGTCACCTGCAGTACCATCTATCGTCACACTTAATTTGATCCTCCCGTGCAGGATTTCGGCACCAGCTGCAACTGCAAAACCCATCGTTGAATCTCGACATCGCAGCCAGTGAGTCATAGAGCGAGCTGCACGGCGTCTGCACACGTCGGGGTCCTCCCTATCACTAAAGTCTTCTTCGAAGGCTCGACTGCGAACTGAGCGAACATGGCAGCAGACCTTGGTCTTGCGAGCAGGAGGTGATCCGACTATACCGCGCTCGGTAGTAAACTCCGAACCCCGCAGTAGTTGAGAAGTAAACATGGTTTCGGAATATCGAGACGGTGATGCAGCACAATCACTACTGCTGCTGCGACTACGACTATGACTTACGACGCAAGCACAGACCAACAGCCCCTACAACTCATTCTTCGTCGCAGCATCGGATGCTAAGCTCTTGCTGGCCAGATACAGCAGCCTGGAGGGCCAAGTCATGTCCACAAATTCCTGGCAAAAGCTGGCGATCACGGCCCGAAGCCTAACGACTACGTTTAAGCTACCCCCCATCACTGGCAAGGCTTGCTTGTGTCCTGAGTTTGGCAATGCACCAACTCCTGACACCTGCGTTGGAATCTAAGGCTACATTGCAACGGACATCTTCAAACTTGCCGTTATTTGTTGCCGTTTGCATTGGTCTAAGCAAAGAGATCTTGCTCGTCGAGCCTGGCTATCACCAGCCCCTGCCAGGATCTTTTGGCAGGTCACGGAGCTCCTGAAAAGCAAGCAAGCGTGACTCACATGTAAGCTCTGTGAGAGCAGCTACCCTTGTGAATCTCTAAAGTCTAAAGTCTGAGAAGGGGTCGGTTCAGTGCCCTTACAGGCCGAGGCCCTTCCCAGAAAGGACCGGCACCCCGACAACCCTAAACCCTTTCGACCCAGTGGCTCGAAAGCAGTATAGAACTTATCGGCAGCTCATGTCGGCAATCACTCTCCGGCTTGGCAGGCAGGGTTAGGTAGATCCAACAAGTCAAGACTTGGTCACTGTGATACACCGCTTTGAGTCCGACACAGTTCTTAGAACACGAGAGCCGTTTGAGTTGAATCAATGCAGAATAGAGGGGTTGGGCGCCATTGTGCATCTTCTACGTAGCCCCCATTACAAGACCAATATCTACATCCGCGGACGACTGGGCGGCGGGAACACAAGCTCGCCAATGCGTGTCACAAGCATGTCGAAATCAGTTCCTGCCGCAGTGATGCCTAAGGCTCGAACGAACACAGCAAACCAAATGAAACATAAGCAACTGCAGGTAAGTGGACAGCTCTGCAAGTGCCGCCCAGACAGTACATTATCTTCCCTGCCATTAGGTTTTCTCCCCCCCTTCGGAAAGAAACCCCCTGCCTGCCCACTCAGCCCTCGTAGTGGTGGTAATAGCAGTAGTGGTTATGGTGCTGGTGGTGATAGTGGTGGTAGCAGAGGAACAGGAGCAGGAGCAGCAGCAGCAGCAGCAGCCAGTAGCGGCAGTAGTAGCAGTAGCAGCGGCAGCAGTGGTAGTGGCGGTGGTAGTGGCTGCTGCTGCTGCTGCTCCTGCTGTTGCTGGTGTTGTTGTTTTTGTTGCTGCCGCCGCTGCTGGCTGCTTGCTGCTGCAAGCTGCAATTGCAATTGGAACCGGAAATGCAACGCCGCTCCCGCTAGCACTACGTACCACTACCACGTACCACGTACCACTACCACTGCCGCCACCACTACCACTACTCTCCTCCCTCCTCCTCCCCCTGCCCTGCCCCTGCTCCTGCTTCTGCTACGACGACGGCCACAGCTACCATTGCCACTGCTAATTGCGCGACCCACCACCCATTGCACAACGACGACAGCAACGGCTGCGACGACCATGGCGACGACGGGTTTTGATGATGACGACGACGGCGACTCCTTCTTCTTCGGCAAATCACCGCCACTGCGACGGTGGCAACTTCTGTTGTTTCTTGGGCCGCCGATACTACAACTTCTATGGCTTTAAGGTCCGAGCACTCCCACCTGCCGCCTGGACAAAAAACCGCACTGGCTTCGTACTGTGCGGGGGCCTTGCCGACTTCAGCTTGCGGCGCGCCTGCTGGCCGGCAACAACCACCTCCAGTCTTTTGGGTCGCGGAGGCGACTGTAAAGGGACGCGAGCTTACGAGTGGGCACGCGTGCTGGGCTGCATAACTTGAGTATAACTTGAGTAACTTCTTCTGCCCTCTTCTCCTCAACTTTCATTGCGGCGAGGATTCGCGGATTTGTGGTTTGAGCTTCCTGAGAAGATGCTTCTGAGGCTTCTGCCAGGCGCGGATTTGCATCATCTGTGCCCAAGACTGTAGAAACCGCAGCTGCTGCAAGGGCTGGTAGATCCTGCAGGAGCGATGCGGTGCACGGATTCGCATCCCAGACGGAACTTGGGTGCATGAATCAAGGAAAGACTCCAGAGGGGAGTGTTCTGCAACGAAACATGCTCCAACCCTGCAGGCTTGTGGGACTCATTACGCGCGTGCCTCGGCCAGCGTGCCTAGTACCTGAGACTTGTGCTCTGAACTGGATGGGTCTTGGACTCTTCTTCTATACCTGAGCTCCTAGGGGTTGATTACGACTCTCTTGGAAAAGCAACGATTTCGTCTGCAGACAAAATGGGGGAATTTCAAAACTTCCGGTGGCGAGGGACATCTCGGGCAGGCGTGGTCATGTTAAGCACAAGGCAGGCCCACCTGTTCAGTTCTCAGCCCATGTGGTCTGGAGAAGAAGCACACTCGATTTTTCCAAAACACAGGCCTACAACGCTCGTGGGAAGACCGCTGCAGGGACGAACGACTCTTTGGATGTGAATGCAATTGACGTCCCTTAGTAAGACACGTCGTCGCTGGCATGGCATCTAACCACCTCGCGATGTACTCAATTAGACAGGGTCACCTTTCAGTTCTATCGCAATTGTTCCGCTTCGGGCTCGAATCTGGAATAAGTCCCTGTGACCAGAAGCTTTTTGTTAAATGCCATCT